GCTGCAGAAGATGGGACCCCAGAAGTTGGGGGACGTTTTGAAACATGGGAATAAGAAACACGAGGTAGTCTCCCTTGGAGGCGGAGATGAGAAAAATGCCATGGCATAAGGGAGACCTTCTGCCTCTTTGAGGTAACGGATTTCCCGCTCATTTAAGTAGACTTGGCAACGGCGAGAGTACGAAGGGTGAGCCTCATGACAATTAAGGCAAGAGGAAGGTCGATTGCAAGACGTATTAGAATGGTCATCGGCACCACAGACTGGGCATTTCGGCCATAATCTGCAATATTTCGCTGGATGGCCAAATCGCCAGCAATTTCTACACTGTTGCAGTGTAGGGATCACCTTTCGAACTTGTAACCGATGTCCTGCTAATAAACTGAGGATGGGAGTTCACGGCTGTCAAAAGTTAAACGAGCCACTTTTGCTAGGGTATCGTCTCGCCCGCGGGCAGGAAGAAACATAAAGTGTCTCCCTTTGAGAATTGGGAGATCTTGGAGTTCCAGCTGTTCGAGAATGTCGTGCCACATGTCTGGAAATTTTGTTGAACTATGGTATGGGGCAAATGACGGTACCACTACAAGAATTGAGGAATGATGTTTTTCATAGTGACAGGAACAGTACGATATGGGAAAGAAGAGAAGATATGAGCTTGGTACCATTCTGTACAGTGAGATGCGCGTTTCCCTCTTAAGAGCATGGAAAGAAATATCCTTACCAACATGGTGAAGGAGTGCCTTGTCAATACTATGGTCGGAAAGATAGGCAATAGAGGAAGTCGGTCGTAAAGTGAAGAATTAAATCCATTGTGCATTCTGAAACTGAGTGTGGAAAGGGAGTGCAGGACATGTCAATCTTTTCTGAGAAGAACGAGAAGGTGGAGAAGTATCATCAGCAGGTAACTGTTGTTGGCGTTTAGGCGTGGGACCAGAGTTGGTCAGACGTGGAAAATTGCCGCACCGTAGAGGGAGAGGCTGGAAGCATAGTCAAAGGAGAGCGGAGGTCAGATAAATCGAAGGAGTCAGTCGAGACCTCAGTACCTGAAGTGGGTGAGGAAACAGCACCGGCAAGAGGTACAGAGGCATTAGGAGTGTCCGAAGGGCGGTCCAAAGACAAGGCGGGGTCAGAACGGGGTGCGGTATCAAGAAGGGGCCCGGGGGTAACAGGTTCATGGACAAGGGCTTCCATGGTTAGGTTACTTCTTTCTTTTTCTTTTTAAGAAAAAAAAAAGAAAGAAGAAAAGAAAAATAAAAAAAAGAATAAAAAAAGGGGGGACCGGGGAGGGATAGTTCTTAGGAGGAATGAAAGAGCCAGAAATCTCCCTCCGTGCCCAAGAGGACCTCAGCACCGCAAGTAGCGCAGATGCAGCATGGAACCCGTGCCATACCCTACCCATCATGCCAGTAAACCAGCAATCCGGGATAGCAACCTCACATCTGCCGAGCTACCTCGGTGGACAAAAGAGAGGGCGGCCGGATATCCGCCACAAAGCATACCTCCTTCGGCCACCACCCCTGGAATTCGAAAGGTGGCTTCCAGAGATACACCTGTCGCCCGAAAGACACCCTCCGGGATACCTGAGAGGGATCGAGACATCTCCAGGCAATCCAGATTCCACGGCAAACTACGCCACCGCCAAGAACCTCAACGGAATGGGATGGACCCCGGTACCCTTTCGCCTACCTAGTAACTAGCGTGCCTGTGGGAAAAAACCCAAAGGCCAAAAAGGAAGGGTAAAAGGGAGGGGTGGGGAGGAGGAGGAAAGTAAAAAGGGGAGGATGGGATAGGGAAGGGGGGATTGGGGGGTAATTAGGTTCGGTCTAAGGAAGGAGACTGACAGGTCTAATTCCTCAGACCAAGATCCTCTTCACCACAACAAGAAGCCCCCCCTTGAAGAGGAATAAAACTGATAAGAACACACCCAGTTTTATTTTAAACATTAATATTTACAAACCAAGAAGATATTACAGGTCTCCCTCAACATTCACGTTTTCAACTTTCTGGGCTTCACACATTCGCGAATTATCAACCGCCAAATTCCCAGCCTCCAAATCATATTTAAGTTTCCCGCCACCTGCAAGTCCCTACTACCCTCCCTCTGACCCTCCCCAACTGGCAGCCAGCCCTCCCACCAGTGTGGTGAGTGTTTTGTTTGTTCATTATTTGCTATTAAACTACAGTATAAATAATGTAAACCCATTCATGATTGCATATTGGAATGACTATTCGGACAGGTATTGGACGGTGACATGTGTTGACTCTTGAACACAGCAAAGAATCAAACATTTCTGCTACTGCTAATAATAACAATAGTAGTAATAATAATAATAATAATAATAATAATAATAATTATAATAATAAATACGATAGAATTGAAGAAAGAAATTGTACAAAAATACGAAGGAGTGGTTGACACATCGTCAGTGTGGCTTTGTTTATGCTGGAGCGAGCATTAGTCTCCGTGCTCTTCCAAACATTTCACAATAATTCATTGTGTTTGGTGCTTGTAGATTGAGTGCGACTGGAGTGGTAGAGGCAGTGGTTGGGGAAGCGGTTGAGGCATTGGGTGAGGCAGTGGGTGAGGCAGAAGTTGAGGCAGCGGTTGAGGCAGTGGGTGAGGCAGTGGGTGAGGCAGTGGTCGAAGCAGTGGTATTTAATAACATACATGTTAATAATAATAATAATAATAATAATAATAATAATAAATGTTATTAGTAATATGTATTATTGTTACAGTATTTATAACATGTTATTAAATACCACTGCCTCAACTGCTGCCTCTACCATTGCCTCAACTGCTGCCTCTACCAGTGCCTCAACCGCTGCCTCACCCACTACCTCAACCACTGCCTCACCCACTGCCTCAACCACTGCCTCAACCATTGTTTCACCCACTGCCTCACCCACTGCCTCTACCATTGCCTCAACCACTGCCTCAACCACTGCCTCAACCACTGCCTCAACTGCTGACTCAACCACTGCCTCACCCACTGCCTCACGCACTGCCTCTACCATTGCCTCAACCAATGCCTCACCCACTGCCTCAACCGCTGCCTCACCCAATGCCTCAACCGCTTCCCCAACCACTGCCTCTACCACTCCAGTCGCACTCAATCTACAAGCACCAAACACAATGAATTATTGTGAAATGTTTCAGAAGAGCAGGGAGACTAATGCTCACTCCAGCATAAACAAAGCCACACTGACAATGTGCCAACCACTCCTTCGTATTTTTGTACAATTTCCTTCTTCAATTCTATCGTATTTATTATTATTATAATTTATTATTATTAGTAGTAGTATTATTACTACTACTACTATTGTTATTATTAGCAGTAGCAGAAATGTTTGATTCTTTGCTGTGTTCAAGAGTCAACACATGATGTCACCGTCCAATACCTGTCTGAATAGTCATTCCAATATGCAGTCATGAATGGGTTTACATTATTTATACTGTAGTTTAATAGTAAATAATGAACAAACAAAACACTCACCACACTGGTAGGAAGGCTGGCTGCCAGTTGGGGGGGTCGGAGGGAGGGTAGTAGGGACTCGCAGTGGTCGAGGAAGTGGAGGCAGTGATATTTAATAACATACCTGTTACTAAACCATGACATGTATGTATTCAGTACAATTTACGACATTTTCATGTATTTTATGATTGTTCATGGTTCAACAAGTTAAGGAAGAAGTATTGTATTATATTTCCCTACAATATATTGGGGCAGTTTAATATATTTATAGATGGGGTTGTAAGAGAAGTAAATGCGAGGGTCTTGGCAAGAGGCGTGGAGTTAAAAGATAAAGAATCACACACAAAGTGGGAGTTGTCACAGCTGCTCTTTGCTGATGACACTGTGCTCTTGGGAGATTCTGAAGAGAAGTTGCAGAGATTGGTGGATGAATTTGGTAGGGTGTGCAAAAGAAGAAAATTAAAGGTGAATACAGGAAAGAGTAAGGTTATGAGGATAACAAAAAGATTAGGTAAATGAAAGATTGAATATCAGATTGGAGGGAGAGAGTATGGAGGAGGTGAACTATTCAGATATTTGGGAGTGGACGTGTCAGCGGATGGGTCTATGAAAGATGAGGTGAATCATAGAATTGATGAGGGAAAAAGAGTGAGTGGTGCACTTAGGAGTCTGTGGAGACAAAGAACTTTGTCCTTGAGGCAAAGAGGGGAATGTATGAGAGTATAGTTTTACCAACGCTCTTATATGGGTGTGAAGCGTGGGTGATGAATGTTGCAAGCGAGGAGAAGGCTGGAGGCAGTGGAGATGTCATCTGAGGGCAATGTGTGGTGTGAATATAATGCAGAGAATTCGTAGTTTGGAAGTTAGGAGGAGGGGCGGGATTACCAAAACTGTTGTCCAGAGGACTGAGGAAGGGTTGTTGAGGTGGTTCGGACATGTAGAGAGAATGGAGCGAAACAGAATGACTTCAAGAGTGTATCAGTCTGTAGTGGAAGGAAGGCGGGGTAGGGGTCGGCCTAGGAAGGGTTGGAGGGAGGGGTAAAGGAGGTTTTGTGTGCGAGGGCTTGGACTTCCAGCAGGGATGCGTGAGCGTGTTTGATAGGAGTGAATGGAGACAAATGGTTTTTAATACTTGACGTGCTGTTGGAGTGTGAGCAAAGTAACATTTATGAAGGGATTCAGGGAAACCGGCAGGCCGGACTTGAGTCCTGGAGATGGGAAGTACAGTGCCTGCACTCTGAAGGAGGGGTGTTAATGTTGCAGTTTAAAAACTGTAGTGTAAAGCACCCTTCTGGCAAGACAGTGATGGAGTGAATGATGGTGAAAGTTTTTCTTTTTCGGGCCACCCTGCCTTGGTGGGAATCGGCCGGTGTGATAATAAAAAAAAAAAAAAATAAAAATATTGGGGCACCAAACATTCGTGATTTTTCAACATTCGCGAGGTTCTTGATCCCCTAACCCTCGCGAATGTTGAGGGAGACCTGTACTTTTTGAATTATAATCCAAAATAAATATTTACAGGCATACCAAAAAATGTGAAACAAAGTCAGTATAGGCCTGAAATTCTCTCAGATAATGATCTCTGTATCTGCAAGTTCTTCATCCAATGGTAGCTCTATCTTCTCAATACTAATAAGGTTGGGGTCGATTAGTGATAGGACTTCTGCTTCCCTCCGGCACAACTCCAAGTACCCTTCACGCTGTGCCCAATCGACCATTCTGCAGTAAAAAATAATAAATTCAGGACAAATAGATACTACAATGGGTAATTTGTACTTCCTGCAGAACAATATACAGTACGAGCTGGACAAGCCTGGCCCATAGTAGAGAAACTCTCGAAACTTCAAAGGTATTTCAAAGGTACATGTTTGAGACCTGTTCTACTGTATATTTAACACCATTAATCATAAGAAATTTCTACCAAGCTGTAATTCTAAAAAAGTTACAATTAATCCTCAAATTGAAGATAGAGGTAAACAAACACCATTTTGAATGTACATTGTGAGGTCTTCAAAGACCAATATTATGACTTTGTAAGTAAAAATATTGTAGGGTTACATTCTGAGAAACTCACTGTAAGTCAAAAATAGCAAAGTCGAACACAATATGCTTAGTAAATAAATAACTACTATCATTGAGTAAGTAAATAAACAGATAATTACTGTAACTAAATAAATACCAGCATTGAAAAGTAAATAAATGAATACAAGTTACAGACTTGCCACCTTCATGCTGGGTAATTATCTTGAGATTCATCTCCAGAGTAATTGCTTTTCACCATCGTAAAGTCAAAATATTATACGTCGAACTGTCATACGTCAAGGAGGTCTTGATTAGTGTGAACTCAAACAGTGTAAATTTCAATTCACTGCAAAATTAATTAATGCTAGCCCCTCAAGGGAGGTTCCTTGATGCAGGTGAGGGGCTCTTGATCAAGGGAATTTGATCTATGCTCCAGTTCCCTGAATTGAGCCTGAATACCTTCCATTCCTTTCCCTTACAGGCAACATATAATCCCTATGGGTTTAATGCTCCCCCATGATTATAACAATAATTAATGTTAGTTTTTCCACAAACTCTTCAATTCGTGAGCAAAAATTATATATAATTTAAACAGTGCAAATTTGAACAATACGACCATTTCACAGGATTCATTATTTGCAGTAATCGAGACCTGACTGTATAGCATAAGGTCGTAACAGCCTTCAGGACACATTAGTAGTCTAACCAAACCATGGAATGAGTGGAGTTTAAACCCATGGCGAGCGAGAAGTAAAACTCCAGGTCAAGGGTTCAAACCCCACCCGTTCCATATTTTGAAATCCTGTTATGATTTCGTGAGTCATTAGTAGTCTAACCTGAAATCTGGCAGGTAAGCCCAGACGAATCCTATAGTCACTATACACAGAGTTACACCGAAGAAGAACGTGAGATGCATTATTGTGTTGTCCTCCACTTCCGAGTCATAACTGAAGCCCCAACTGATCCAGTTCTGAAATATATAAATAAAAATGTAGTTAAATTTAAAAGATTAATGTGTCAAACCTCCAGGTATAAACTATAGTACTTACAGTGTATATAGGAAGTTCTCAGGTAGCAAGAATAACAGTAACTGTGACAACAGTAACAGTGACAACAATAACTGTCACAACAGTACACAATCACGAACGAGAATGATCTATCACGATTTCTCAGGGATACTCATCTTACAGAGAATAACTAAACAATGTCCAACTTAAAAGCCTACGTAGCATAGTGTATGTTTTGCTCCATTATTGTTCAAATTTCATTGTACAATCTCTTAGTATTTAAATAATCAACTACCTCTTTTTGTGATTTTACTAATAAGCATAATTCACCTTATGTAATTTTCTTATTTACTATTATTTGCTTAACCCTTTGACTGTTTCAGGCCCCTCTCTGAAACTGTCATTCTATGTCGCTCAATTTTTGAAAAAAAAAAAATTATTTTTTCTTATGAAATGATAGAGAATCTTTTCCCGATGGTAATGACACCAAAAGTTCGAAATTTGGTCGAAAACTCGTGGAATTATGCTCCCGCGAAGTTAGCGGTCTCGGCGACATATGCGTATCGGCGATTTCGCCGACTTTGAGCCCAATTTTCAGCCAATTCCATTGTTCCAGTTGACCAAACTCATAGCTATTTCTTTAGAACTCCATTTTATTCTATCAGCTGAGTACAAGAAACCTCCCATTTACTAATTTGGACTACCCAATATGGTGGTCAGAAATTGGCAATTTGGCCAATTTCACGCAAAATAAAAAAGATGCCAATTTCAAAATAGGGTCCAGAATAAACAAGGTAGACATTCGTGGCACTAAAATAACATATGCTCTGTTCATTAGTCACATCTCTAGGCCCTCTTATATTATTTTTTGCTTTCTTTTTTGATATTTTTATTCATACAAAAAATACAAAATTTACTGTTATGCAGACGACGCATTATTGTAAAAATGGTATAAATAATATCAGTGCATTTGTGAAAGAATATTGGGACTCCCCAGTTGACGTGTATTGGACGTGTGGTGGATTTATGTATCTTGAACATTGGTAAAAATCGAACATTTCCGCTACTTTGAGCTCAGTTTCAAGGTCGTTTTTCATCGTAAAAAGTAATGAAAATCATCTCTATTTCTGTAATATTTTTTTTCCATTTTATCACCTAAGACCATGAAAACGCGAATACAACGATAAATACTATACGAAAATACACCTCAAAGTCGGCGTTTTATTCCAAAAAAACGATCAGTTTTTTTTTCTCATTACGCAATGTGTGCTGCAGGATTTTTTTTATGTGGTGCACACTGACCACACAGACCCATTCTCTCACATGTGGGCCTACCAGCTTTCTCCCACTTGATTTGAAGCCGCTAGAATTATTGAGTATATATACGTCAGAAACATTGGCTCGTAAGACGTATTTATACGTCGAAAACAGTCAAAGGGTTAAACATTAGCAGAATTGATACTTTCTCTGTCCATATTATTACCTCATATTTTTTTTTAAGTACTATCAATTGATATTACCTACTAAAATTAATAATTATCATTTTTACTATAATTTCAATTTACTCTTTAACATTTTTGACATTTAATAACCATTACTTGTCTAATTACCTTTACCTGTTTTATACCACATTTACTATCTTAGAGTACTCTTAATTACCTTGTACTGCCATATAACCTCTAGTATAACTACCATGCAATATTGAATGAAATAAACTTTAAACTTTTTTCACTTTTTTTGTAATCATTTTACTTACTAAAATTTTATTAAACACCATTTTACTACCAGTCAATTTTATTTTTGTACATTAAACATTATTTTATACTTCCCAAAACATTTTGTTGCCAAATTTCAAGTTTGCATATTCAACTCCAACCTTTAATTACCTTTATACCTCTACCATCTTACTATCATATTATAACCAAGACATTACCAATTTTTCTTTGTTTCTTCCCTGTCCTTTTAATTTTGTTTACCACTACTTGTTTTTTTAGTCACTTTTTATTGTGTGTGCAATTAGTGTATATTCCAATTACTTTTTTGCAAGTCCCAAATACTATCTTTTGCTAGCTATCCCAATACTCATTTTTTTTTTTTTTTTTTTTACTTTTATTGTGCAATAAACTGCTCAACTTATTTAATATTACAAATCAGATCTTACTCCTAAACCAATATTATTTCATAGTGACTATCTGTCCATTTAACTTTTTTTACCATTACTCAATTGTAGTCCCTTATAAAATTTTTTGTCCTTTATTTTAGCTCTATATAAATACCTTAGATCATATATTCGCAATTTTTTAAACTAATCAAGGTGCTATTCTCGGGTGCTAAAGTTAATAAGTTCACTATTTTGCCATTATACTCCAAAGCTCATTTATTTGATTACCACTTTATTGTTCACCACAACTTATATTAGTCCTTTATATTATAATTTTATATTATAATTCTAACTTTAAAGAATTCCCTTTAAAGTACTACCTACTATCATATTCCCAAGCTCCATTATTTGATCATCACTTTATTTGATTCACCACAAATTATTTTAGTCCCTTTTAATTGTCTCCTTTATTTTAGCTTTAAAAAAACTACCTTAGCTCATTATTTTTACATTTGTTAAATAATTAGGTGCTATTTTTTTAGCTTTAGAATATTTTATTTTTTACTTAATTCTAACTATAGATCCACTACAAATCTTATGATTACAAGCATTGATCCTGATACCAACCTCTTATTTAATGACTTAAATGATTCAAACAGTTACTGTAATTACTACACAGCAAAACAATAAAAGGCACTTCTCAGAGCCAACAACAACATAACTACTTTAACTACAAATCAGATCTTAAGCAAGCATTATGATGACCTAGCATTACAAAATTTCCTTGCATGCCAATATGTCCATTATTACACTAACTGAAACCTTGGCAAAGCCTGATACTACGATGTCTATGCCATTCCTGGTTACACAGCCATACACAACTGTAGGCCAGACCAACAAGGGGTGGCACAGTATATACAAACTCAGACCAACTAGAATGTATACAAATACTTGCCAAGGGATGAACATGGGGAATATATAATAGCTAAATTCAAACCCAAATACCTACAAAAACCTCTCACAGTGATAAACATCTACAAAATTCCCCAATCAAACATTAGCCAATTTAGTAAAACCCTAGGAAGTATGATAACTGATGCAACGCATGAACAAAGATCACTTACTACTCTCAGGTGACTTCAATATAAATCTCCTGCAAGACCAGGACCCACACGTTTATGAATTCACAAACACAATGAGAAAATGCATGTTGCTACCAACAGTAACAAAACCTACAGAGTTACAGAGACTAGTGTTTCCCTACTTGACCACATCTGGACCAACACCATATCCCCTTTAAAATCAGGCATAATTACAGATAATACCACAGACCCCCTACCCTACTTTCCTCATAACAACTCTTGGTAAAATTTACCCCAAGACACTACTAAAGTCCCCTTTCAGACTTCACAATGAGGCAGCATTAATAACTTCACAACAGCAGTAACAAACATTGACTGGCACACTGAGCTAGAAATCTATACAAGTTTATTGATGAATGTTTTAATAATTTTCTAAAAGGACCCAATACCTTTATAACAAGCACTGCCCTAAAAAAACTAAACAGATGACAGCTAAGAGACTGAACGTCCTGGCTAACACCCAGCATTCTCAAATCCATAATACAAAACACTGAAAATGAAAAACAAAACAGAAGGGGTCAATAACCAGAGACCAAACAAAACGTTACTCGTAAATTTCCTAACACCTGATAAGAAGGGCAAAAAAATTGTATTATGAGAACAGATTATCCAACTTACGAGGTGATATAAAAAAAGACCTGGAAGAACCCTATCAGAAATTCTGGGAACAAAAAAGATACCCACGAACATAGCGAAATAAAATTAGCAAAATCAGATGAACCCCAACTCCCACCAACAGAAACAGCAAGCAGACTCAATATTTCTTCTCCACTTGGGTCAAAACCTTGCCAAAAATCCCAAGCTCAGATACCCCACCAAATGACTACCTCACTGGCAACTACCCAACACACTTTTTCCTAGCTCCGACTAACCCATACGAAGTCTCCCTTATTACAACGCACTGAAAAACAAGGCAGGAGATTTAAATACCTTACCACCCTTTATATACAAAAAAGCGTCACAAGTACTATCACCAATCATTGCAACACTCTTTAACAAATCCACTGATCCTCCACCTTCCCTACAGTCTAAAAATAGCAAGGGTCCCCCCGATCCATAAAGGAGGAACCAAACAGAGTTGAATAACTATGGGCCCAAATATCCAATTTACACCCTCTCTCAAAAATCTTCGAAAAATTAATTCATAAAACGAATCCACTCCTCCCTCATCTCCCATAACATTCTAAACCCCTGCCAATTTGGATTCAGGCCCAATAAAAACAAAATGATGCAATTATACACATGCTAGAACATTATACACGCAATAGAAAAAAAAAGAAGTCCCACTGGGATCTTCATTGACTTACGTAAAGCTTTTGAAACAGTTGACCATGACTTGCTCCACGTAAAATGTCACACTATGGTATTAGAGGGCATTCTCTCAACTACCTTCAAGTCTTACCTCAGCAACAGAAGCCAATATGTGTACGCAAATGGGGCAAGCTCTTCCGCACAACCAATTACAGTTGGTGTCCCACAGGAAGTGTCCTTGGCCCTCTTCTCTTTCTCCTATACATAAATGACCTACCAAATGCTTCGCAATTACTCAAACCCACCCCTTTTGCAGATGACACCACATACGTCTTCTCTCACCCGAGCCCAGTCACGCTAGCCAATACTGTAAACACCGAATTTCAGAAAAAATCTACCTGGATGAGGACTAACAAACTTACACTAAACATTGACAAAAAACCCACTTCATTCAGTTTGGTAGCAGAGC